CTAAAAATTTATTTCATAAACTCATGCGTACGAGATCTTGCATGCATTCTAAAATATGGCTCTTGATGTCGTGAAATATTCGAGAATCTGAATTTTTCCTGCGAAATTGACCCTCATTATTTGCGGTAATGCTGGCCCTAAATTCCACGCCCGGATTTTGCGGAAATTTTTCAATTCAAGAATCGCACAATCCCCCTGATTCGGCCATATGGAAATAGAATCGTCGCTGATTTTCTCCTGCAAATCGCCATTACTCGAGGGAATACTGTACAGTATTAACTTTCGAAGATGTCCGTTTTTTTTTATTCAGCTTCTCTTGAAAAAGAACCCATGAAACCTTTCTTCTGATGAGAGTTCCTTCTTGGTTGCTACAAATTTAAGAAAAAGTGTTTGCTTCAAGAGCGGCTTCAAACGTTGCAAAGTCATATTTACAGTATTTTAAAGCTAAAATTATTTCTTAAAATGACGCTGATTTGAGAAATTATGCATTCAAATCACCATTATTTAAGGCAAAATTCCTTAAAGCAATGCAAAAATTTTCAAAATACGAAAATATTGATTTGCAACGTTTGAAGCCACTCTTGAAACATACGCATTTTTTTTTACACATTTCTTCAAATAAAATAATTCTTTTGTCGATTGTAAATATGGCATCGTTCATGTGACCGGCAAAAAAAGCAAACCCCCGTAATTCTAGCAATTTCCAACATTGAAACGTGCTCTTTCTGGCTTTCGCGGGAACTTATTTCACGGGAAAATTATGCAAAAACTTCTGATTTGGACGGAGAAATGTATTTTTGGTTGGATAGTCAACCATTCTTTGGACTTTACTCCGTCATGCCGCAAATATTTGCGTCAGTTTTGGGAAACTATTTTATGAAATTGAAAAACCCCCATTTTACGCTTGACGTATGTTGCCTTTCGACGTATTCACGCTATATGCTGATTCGGAGAAATTATGATCTCTCGTCGGTTCGCAAGAGTCGTAAAACTGGAATCGAGTTCCGGAAGCATTGATAATGCATTCCATGAATATTCTTTCCGTGCTTCAGCGTGAAAACCCCTAAAATAAGATACATTACGAAAAATTGCCGGTTCACTCCAACAGTTAGGGTTTTTGTGATGATCCGAGCGAAATGATCGGAGCCCTGCTTTAGTCACACTCTTCTCATCCGATTGGAACGTGAAAGTGTGCCGTGATCCTCGAAAGTGAATTCAGTAAAAAGAAACGAAAAAAGAAATCGCTCACGAAACTCCGAAACAAGTTCTCTGGCTGGCCGCGACGTCAGTCGACTGGTTAATGACACTGATAATTTTCGCGATGCATGACTCCCGAAGTCCCAATTCCAAACCGCCGAAAGATCGTTAAATTAATTGAATAATTTCACTCACCAACGAAATGTTTCTCATGACCCGTGGAGATGAGCGAGTAATATTGACATGTGCCGCAGTGATTTCCGCTGCTGCGATACTTGATTTGGATTTTTCGTCTTGCCTAATTAATTAATTATTGCTCACGGGTGTGACTATTGTGGGCTTTTTTCCTGAAAAATCTGTCTTGGAGAAACGTTTTAAAATTTAATGGTAAAACCAATAATTTGAGATGTTTCGCAAGTAAAGGTACTGTGTATGGCTAGGCTCTGATTAAATGAGGTTGTAATTAATTCTCAGACTATAGACTATACCAACATTTTGAACACCTGTATGTTTGATCAGATTTTCCGCTGTAGACTTCAAGGGGAAAATTTATCATCACTTCACAGGTTTGGTGTAAAATTAAAAAAAAAATCTTCCAAAAATTGAATCGCGTTTTTCTTAGCGTCAATTCGCTGAAAATAACTGGGCAGAATAAAAACAGGCAGAATCTGTACTTTCGGCATGAAAATAAGTCTGAAAAAGTATGCATGTTGCTTTACTCTACGCATTTGAAGAATACCATCTAAAGCGAGAAACACAAGATTAGCCCATTTGGAAAATAAGTAATTTTGCAATGCGCCTTATTATTACTGTGGCAGTGGCTCAATTTTTTCAAGGAAATTCTAATAATTTTGGTTTTTTAAATGTTGTCAGTGTCCATTTATTGAGACATTTTTCCAGTTTTTGGGGCAGATTTTTTTCGTTCAAAGTGTCTGTTTGTCAAATTTTCCTTGTGTCAAGGTGTCCTTGCTTTATTGGTTTATCTCATGTTTGACTCCATTACTTGGACTGCATTTGAAAGCATATACTGAATTTTTGCCATCGTAAAATTCTAGCATTGATTTCACCGTACCGTGAAGAGAATAAATGCAAGGCTACAAAATGTCAAGAGTCATTTCTCAGTTTTTGTCCCAAATGCTTCTTACTGTATCTAAAAAAAATGGTATGTTAAGTACCATTAAAAATGGGTTGTTACCGAATATTATATCACTTACTGTACTTTCAGCAACGGACGGGTCCGAGTTAGTGCATTACAGTATTCGAATTTTTGCATTCTTATGAATACAAAGACTGACAGCATATAATTTATGAGACGCTATTCGAATTTTATTTTTCGACTTTGATGCATCGGTTTTTTTCCCGAACACGCCAATTTGGAAAAATCATGACTACCTTTCTAATTGACGGATTATCCGGAAATTCTTTTATAAAATTTCCAAAATTACTGTACAGTGCAGTAGTGCAAGATTCATGAAGGAAACTCCAAACGGAAAGTTTTCTCACCATATATTCAGGAAAAACCCTCCAAGGCTAATTACCCACATTAAAAACCAGCATTCTTTTTTACTGTGATTTCTTGCGTGACGAACATGTGCGCTTGCTTGGATTGTGAATCACTGTCTCAGCTCGTTTGCAATGAGGAAATCCGCCGATTTCAATCTTAAATGAATCACTGTTCTGTCGGGGAAAAAATCGTTCACCCGTAGTTCTTTGAGATATTGAACAAAGAGCGATATTGCTTCCTGGAAAAAATAAAAGGTCAAGGTAACAACGAGTGAGTGAGGGGATGTCAGCACAGCGAAGTATGAGGTCGAACAAAGGAGTTCATCTTGAACTCAGTGTCCTTCAACTTGAGCCGTATACGTCTCGTCTGCTTGACAACCTGATCATCATTCCTACCTCGGCGATGAGACTGCTGACCATGAGCAGTATTCATGGGACATGAAGGAAAAAAAAGAAGTGCATAGTGGTTAGTTCATAAGTTCTGCCAATGCTGTGCTTATTTTATTCTTGTGCCAAATATGCAGATGATAGAGTGATTGATAAGCAATTTTTTTTTGCTGCTTGTCAGCGTTCACAATTTTCAAAACATTTGCCTCCATTCCACACACCCATTCAGAAGAATATACAAAAGAATTTCACAGTACATACAAATGCATGAATAATGGATTGGTACCTTTTTAAAACCAAAGAAATAACAACACAAGGCAATCATACTGAGCACAATTTAAAGCACAGGGCATCCAGCCTGTTCCCAGATGATTATCAAGTTTAAAAATGAAAATTTAAAAATATTATTTGAGGAGAAATGATGCACAGCTAAAACTGGTTCCTGGTCCTCCACAATTTAAGAGAGAACCTTTTTTAAGAATTGTGAGGACCGGTCCTGTGTGTTTTTAAGTTCAATTCTAATATTGTGGAATGCTGGGCATAAAAAAACAAATGGTGATACTGTAAACAATATATTTACACATGCAGTAATTATGTAGATTGACTCTTCCAAAGAGTGTTTTGATTGTTGATAGCACAGGTTGGACTTGAAAAAGACAAGTGCGTTACGTGCTTGTGAGACCTGGATTTTCCTGGCGTCTAATTGCCGGTGTAATTGAATATTCCCACGATCTGAAAAGCCCTGCATTGATCGTTGCCATTGTTTTGGAATTGGCCTGCTGACTGCTAATTTTTACTGAAATTCGCGCTTGGTGAATGACAGTTTATGAAGGAAAGAAATTCTGTAGAAAATTCTTGTCAAATGAACATTCTTTCTGTAAGTTATTCAACAGTCAACCTCAACAAGTCAAATTCCAAGGGACCGGCAAAAAAAATCGACTTTGGGAAGCTTTGAGTTGAGAAAGCTTTAATTTAGGGGAAAAAGCCTTTCTGTGGTGGGAATACTGGGAAATGTCAAATTGCAGGAAATTGTTGATGTTGATAATCTGGGCCTTTATAATTGCTTCTTAAATGAGTTGACAGCATTCTGAACTTGGAGTCAGGGGTTCATTTGTCCAACCAGCCTTCCACTTCCTTTCAAAACACATCTTCACTTGTGGTATTGCTTTTCTCTTTCCTGCATCAAGAAACTAATAGCCAAAAAGCATTAGAAAAGTTTACTTACAGAGGTTTGAGGGATACGTCCTTCAAGTTTGGGAGGCTTTTAATGCGTTATTTCTAAGGGATTTTGAAGAAAATTTGATTCAGAAATGTATTTTACTTATTAGGGAAGTTTGAGTTATGGAGGTTCAACTGTATACAGGTGGTACCTTGCAATTCAACCTCTTGCAATTCAACCATCCCACAATTTGACCAAGGCCCTGCAAGTTGACCCACAGAGATGGGCAAAATCATCAAATACAATGTAGAAAACATTGCATTTGACATTGCTTTGCAATTCCACTGCTTTTCAATTTGACCCTAGTCCAGCAACGGATTAGGGTCAAATTGCGGGGCACCACCTGTATAACCCATTGATATTGGAAAATATTTCCTGAAAAACGTGGGTGTGCTAAGAAAGTCCTAATACAGTATTGAAAAAAGCTTTGGACTAATCCCGCGTATTTCCTGTCGGGATTTCCGCACGAACAGCCCGATTATTACCCTTAATAAAAAGAAGAAACGCTTTTAAAATCTCAATACTCATTCCGCGAAGTCTTTAAGCATTTATTCCATCAAGCGAGTTTTCAAAAAAAAACATTTTGAAATTACTTGTATAATGAAGTGAAATGAAACGAAAGGCGGGACAGCAGAGGTGTTTCCGTGATGATCAATCTTCTATATGCGTGATGCACCGTGTTGTGATGATTTGAATTCCTTTTTTTTTCGTCAGACGTAGCACCACTGTACTGCTGCTTCGAGGGTGTATTGAAAAATCAGCAGTAAAAGTGGTACTTTCTTCTTTCATCACGCGTCGTCACGTTGTGCTAATACTTCGATTTGTCCCGGTGAAATTTTACTTCAGATGCCAATGAATCCTGAATTTTTCCTCTGACTTTCGGTGAGTCGCATTGTTCGACTGCAGAAGGGTTTTCAAAATTTTGCAAGTCACATTCCACGTTTTCTTGAAGGGCAGCCGATAATTTTTTTTGCGTTTTCTTTCATATTTTTGGATATCCTTAATTTTTTTTCAAATGTCTTGCTGCGTTGGAGATTTAAAATGGAATACAGTATTAAATATCGAAGAGATTAAAAGCCTGACTCCTGATTTTCTCAGAACCCATGTTAAAGTCATGCATCGTCGAAATAATATTCGATAAAATCGACTTTCGTATACCTGAAATGAAACATGTACGATGTGAAGATTCTGGATTGGTTTCATGAAAACCTGTGTCATTTCTTCGATTTTTTGTTCAGGTTGACCCGGAGAGGATGCCGAGGCCGAAGAAAAAACTCATCGGAAATCTTTCTAGGATAGTTTGAAGAAATAATGCCATTTTCGAACGATTCCTCGGGAGAAGACGTGTGTATTCTGAGGATCGGCAGCAAAACGACAACTAACTGAGTATCCGTGGGTTTCATTTCATGATCTTAGCATGGTTTATAATTAATCCTCGTAATTTGCGCGTTGATTGAGTTATACTGAAGGTGAGCTCGGTATAATGAAAGCGAAGGCTAATCGGAGTGGGCACGAAAACAATCACGACGAACGCAGGGAATGCCGACGAACAGATGTTTAAATTTTCACGAAATCTTTATTATTTTTCCTCGAGTGCGTGAAGGTAACTGAGGAAAAATTACTTTTTAAAGCGACAGTTGCTCTTTTTTTCTGTGTGTGTGTGTGTGTGTGTGTGTGTGTGTGTGTCGTTTTCCGGTCGCATAACAGCAGCACCAGTTTCGTGACCTGCGCATTGAAAAGAAATATCACGCAAGAGAGTGACAAGATAAGGAAAAAGTTACGTGTTTGCCAGCCGAAGCGTTTCCTCCCCTCTGATGTCACTTCGTGTGAAGCATTTTTTCGGTCGGTAGGAAAAAGAATTCCGGCTCTCGGTCTTTATGAAATCTTTTCCGATCAAAGACATTCACTCGCGTTTTGAAGCGTGACGTGGGTGAGGGAGAAAACATTTCGAATCCGAATCGCTCTTCGTTTTCCGAAAGCCCGCCCATGTCTCAAACTTTTAAACCTGTAATTAAGGGAAAATAAGGATGATATTCTCTATAGGGGGTGTTGCCTGTTCGCAAGGTGAGATGCGAAGGGAAAATTGACGATTGAATTAGAGACTCGCGCTTAAATACATTTATTCGGGTTATTTACTGGGTATGACCAGAACATTTTGGACCAATTTTCAAACGAAAAAATTTATATATTTTCCAGAGGTGAAGCTTGGATTTACGCTCAAATAAAATTCAAATTTAATTGCTCATGGTGACATTTTGTTTCATACTTTTTGTCTGGTATTTCATGTTTGTTTGCTATGATCGCTTGAAAAAGGCTCACCGCAAGAAATGTTCCTGGGAGAAAAGTCCTCTGAAAGTCCTCTTGGTTATAAACTTGATTGCTGCACAGCTTAATGATACCAACTGCATTGTTCAATGATGAACAACTATTTATTAATAGGATATAATCGCTTTTCAAATCAAAGATAACCAACTTGCACAAATAAGAGATCTGCATTCAAAACAATTGTATTGGACGTTGGGTTGTCTGAATCCCTGAATCCCTCAGGTTTTCAATTTTCTGTAGTTTTTGAATTTCTTTGTCAAGTTGCGAGAAAAATTGTGCTGTACTTGACACGAAAAAGGAAAACTACAGTATTTTGGCCACGAACGTTGCATCTCATGACAGAAAATCCATTGAATCCCATTTAAAACGCAGAACTGAGCAATTTTATTAAAATTTCAGGAGTAAGATTTTTAATTACCATTTATTTTCTTGTGAATGATTCGAGGTCGTGAATTACGTGAATAATGGACAGCTGCTTGTTCCAACTCGTTGTTCGCGTGAGCAAATGCTGCCGTGTCCAGAAGGCAATTCACGAAACCTCGATTTCCTGTTTATCATCAGTGTTGATGAAACTTCGAAATAATCAGATCAAAACGTATTCTTGAAAGCTGCTAAATTATATGCACCCCGAAGAAATCGATGCCGCGCCACCCATCAAACATGACTGCAAAATAATGTACTGTATATGCTAAGTATGTGTATGGTAAAATCGTTCTTGCGCAAGGAATGAAATACTGTACTGTACTTTCGACAATATTTGAACGGTTACTCGAGAAATCCAAAATTCTAATATTTGCCCCTCATTAAATTGCATGCATTAAAAGCGAAATGTTTTTGCGTGGCATCAGCAGCCATTCGTCGCAATTTTCGATGTATTTTTCTATGACACAATTATTGAAAATTTATTTTGTCGTACCGAACACTCCATTAATGAAGAAAATGTGGTGATTTTTGCGCATTGTACTGTATACATGCATGAAGTAAAACAGTGCGCGAATAAAAGCTGACGAGTGACGACTCAGCAGTCGAGTGGCGCTCAGTTGGGCTCGGTGCTCACTTGACCGCGTGGAGCGACTTCGGATAACTCTCGCGGGGGATATAAAATTGTTCACTCGGAAAGTCGGTTCATATAAACCGAATAGGGGAAAAAACAACGGAGACAATGGATCGTGTGACTCCTAATATTCCTAAGCGAAGGCTTCCGCGTTTTGTGGGATACGAAAGTCTTTCCTCGGTTTCATTGTGTGGGCGTCGCAGCAATGCGATCACCCGTCATTACCGTGCCATTATTTCCGTCACTTATTCAACTGAGGCTCAGCCAGGCAGCAAACCAACCAGTAGCGAGGGGTTTGGATAAGAGCTCACTGGAAATTATTTCCCCCCTCGTATTTTCATATGGCAGAAATTTTAAATCGTGAAGGAAATAAATAGAAGGAACCTTTCTGGTTCGAATGTCAAAAAAATTGAAGAACCGAGGTTGGCTTAGCATTAACAAAAGTCAATCCGTTCATCGCATTGGCTATAGGTATGAGCTTTCTTCTCATCGCCTTCTCTTCCTTTATATATTTTTCGTAAAAGATGGTGGAGACTGTCTTCCTCAGTGTCATATGACCATATGATATAGTAGCGAGACAAACTTATCGCCGATTTCATGTAAACAAAAAATAATTTACTGTATGAAAAGTTAAACACAGAGAGAGTTGAGAATCACGTCATATTTAGCCAAAATATATCCTTTTTCTGTGTAATCTGAAGCCTGAGGTACATCTGTGAATGCTGAAAAAATACTTTCGAGTTGCAAGGAAAAGAGAAAAGTCCGTGGTATATCTTTTTGAATTATTCAATTCTTTGAAGAATAATCGAAGTATGATTGCCATGTAATATCCATCTACCTGCATTAGGACTTGCTCTTTGTGTGGAGTATAACGCATAATTTAGCGAAAGTAAATGCAAAGTTGTAACGATTCCTGATTGTCTTAAGATTTTTATGACGAAATTGGCTCATTTTACCACGTTTTTATGAACTCACTTTCTTGTCTGTCTGTCTGTCTGTCTGTCTGTTTGTCCGGATCAAATTTTGAAACTCACATTTCACTCACTTCCAGACTAGCTAGCAAGCTGAAACTTTCAGGATAGCTTAGAAACTGATGACAATGCAATCTTTTGTGAAAAGAAAAATTATAAGAATATTTTTTAAAAAGAATAAAATAATTATAGTAGATTTCTATAATAAAACTTTGAGCAGGTTTTCCTTGGCCCCAAGAAAAAAACCCATGGTGAACTGAATTGGTCGCAGAGGTACGAGTTCAATCCCACCCCCTGGAACATTTTTTTTCTAAAAACGTTTCCTATTTTAACACGTTTTTTTTTTGTCGCCGAGGGAAGTAATTACCATAAATTCAGTGTTTCTATGGGTGAACTTTCTTTGACCGAAAATTTGCATCGTATTTTCCGGGTCTCCAAGCAGCAATCAAGATGGAAACGACTTCCTGACAATCAACGGTTTTCACCCCAGGAGAAGACCAGCAGGTACGCTGCTATAAGTACCCGGAAAGGACAATAGGAAACGCAATTTACAGGTAGATTTCCATTCTATCGAGCTGCTGAAATATAAATTTAAAAATTCGTCGTAATCAAAAAGCCTCGAAATCGAGATTCTTAGAAAAATTACTGTAAGAGTTTGATTTTTCTTATTACTTTCGGTGCCAATATACTCGCACTCGTACACTTCAAAATCCAGCAATTTTTCTTTAGAAAAAAGCCGAGAAGTGCAACGTATCAAATAAGTGCCATGCACTAGTTTTTTATTGAATTTTTTGGTTTAGCTGTGATGCCATCACCATTTACAGTAAAATCTCGTTACAAAAAGCCACATTGGAGCCAGTAAAATATTCTTCATAAAGAAAAAAAATTTTTATACGCAAACTCAAATAACACAACAGAATTAAACAGGGACCTGAAAAACGGATTGGTTGTAATCGAATATTCGTGACGAAATTCGTTGTAATAAGGTACTGTAGCAGAAGATGTTTTAAGAATACGACATTAAAAGCAATAATAGACGTTGGCCCGTGCTTTTCGACAGAATAGGATAAAAAAAAATTCCGAATGCAATTTCAAATTTTAGAGCAGTTTGTATACGCGGGTAAGAAAATGCTGACCAAATGATCGTATTTTCCATTTGATGTTCTCGGATGGCATCGATCCGACACTGTTGACAATTCATTGAATTGGAAAATTGTAAAACATAGAAATTTCTCATTGGCACCAAATGCATTCGAAAAGGCTGAGCGAATCGACATTAATGCATCATGAGCAAGAAAATGTTCGGGTCTCTTCAATTCAATTGCGTCCAGGACTCCAAAAAATAATAAATTGGGAAACTGAAGGATTAGTCCTGCGGTGGTACCCGTCATCCCTGATTTTTTTTTTTTTTCACAGCCATGATCCCGGCATTGCTGGTCCTCTGGATAAGCTGGGCCCTGGACCTCGTCTCTGCGGGCATCATCCCGCCACCCTGGGTCGACCTGGCCCGGAACCCGTGCTCCAAGGACAGCTGGCAACAACTCTACTGGCCCATGGACGGCCAGTGCTATCGCATTTTCCAACGTGGGCCGTGTCGGGAAACCTTTGAGTTGGTGTTCAATGGCAAATCCGGCGCCGCCGAGTGTCGGTGTCCGCATCATCACGTCATGTGGATCGGCGACGGGTTGTGTTACCGACAGTTCAGTCGTGGGCCCTGTAGTCTCGACGAGTATCTGGCCGGTGTAGAGGGCGCTGTTGACGAAACTCAACGAGCCGAGTGTCGCAAAAGAAAGCCGTGTCCGGAAGGATGGCTCTTCTGGCCTCAGGACGGGCAATGCTACTCCAATTATTCGAAGGTAGGGCCATCATAGAAGAGGTCCTGATCATATTTTCAGTGAATCACTGGATAGCTAGGCTATTTATATACAGCAGTTGAGCAGTGAGATCCCTGAAACACGATCTATTTGACTTATGGGGATACTTGAAACTCAAAATCTTCCCGAACATCCAGACACTGCCAACATTTCTAGAAATATGGAAAATTTTAATATGTTTTTTTAATTTTGATGCCTCTTGAACATATGTAGCCATTTTTATTCAAACAATTCAAAATAAATTTTATTATACATTTTTTCAATTTTTATAATTCAAAACAGGTTAATATTGTGCTTCTACTCTAGGCATTTTTCCATCACTCATGTGCACAGAATCTAGACTTATACTGAAATGTGATCGTTCTTTGCCTTTTGGGCTCCTTTTCATGCCAAAAGAGCAGATTGTATTTGTTTTTCTTCTGAACATTTATTTTCTGTATTCTGAAACTCATGAAAAAATTGCAATCAAGTGTTGCGAACTTCTCCAATAGTTTCAAAAATTTGAGAAGCAATTGCATATGTCCCAATTGAAGTCAATGGTAAAATGTGATCTGACGTGTAAACATGCTGACATGCGGACAAGGTCAAAGAACCATTGACGTCCGCATCTCGGACCCCCACTGTGGATCCACGAAGTCTTTTAATTTTCAGCGAGTTATGAATACAGTATTCAATTCTGAAATGTACCACGCAGGAATGCGAATCACGCAAGAAAGCTCAAGTTAACCTCATGCATTCAAGTGAAAAAACGAGATCATTCAAAGCTCATTATCAGAATCGAATTGATTCGAACCCCTGAGAAAAATCGAAATTCGTCCATGAAAGCTCCATGAGACCATGAAAGCTGGTAAATCGATTGTTTTTATTAATACCCGCTCCTTATTTCACATTTCAAAATGAAGGGCCCTTGCTTCAAGGGCGACTTGATCTACCAAGACCCGGAAACTGGAGATGTGAAGTGTGGTTGTGAGTCCAAGAGGATGCCGAAGTTTTACTGGCCTCAAAGTTACGCTTGCTACGAGCACTTCACCACTGGACCCTGCAACGAAGGCTACCTCTTCATCCACAACAGGTTCCAAAATTTTTCGAGAAACCCTACCTGCATGCTTTTTTGTTCCTGATGAAAACTCACGATTAGATCGGGAGGACGAAGTTCATCAATAATTTATTAAAACGTCAAGCACCCGAAAAAATGAATAGAAAAAAGTAAATGTTGCTGATGGGTATTCATGAGTATCGAAACGTAAATAGGAACTCTTTTGCATAGGGTTGTCCCAAAATACAAAAAGGACTATTAAATTTGCATAATAAAGGTCGTATGAACAATTGAATAGCCGTGATCTGTGAAATCTAAATGGCAATTTAATGAGCTGCAACATTTTGAAAATTCCGGCAGCAAATACATAACGAAAATACGTTTTCGTCAAATAAGATCCGAATCCAACGTGCCACTGAAAGTCTGAAACTAATATGAACCCCGATTTTTTGGATCCATAAAATCGAAAAAAATGCTGTATATGCTCATGTTTGAATATTTTCTTAAAATTCAGCTTCAACCTTCATCGAAGCTTTTTCAATGTTTCTCTCGAATTAACCGGGGAATAAGAAGTTCTGGTCAAATTTGGTTTGTAGAGTCAGAGTGTTACCTTTATATCATTCAATCCGTTTCCTTTTTATTTTATAATCAACGTATTTCTGAATATACAGAATTAACATGCCGATGAGATGTTATGTCAAAATTTACAACAATATAGCAGCATCATCGTCATACTATTCGATGAAATGTCCTCTTCATTAGCATTTAAACGCCTGGCGAGATGAATTGATAACATTTTATCGCATCCTTGGTAAATGGGTCATTGACACTGTTGAAAGCTCAATGGTGTGTTGGTTTACGATAAAATCTTTCATTAGAGTTCACAATGCAAGTACTCCGGGGTACGGAAGTACTGTACCTAATCACTCGAGGAAATTTTCGATGGAACAGGATAGAAGACCACCGCATTTTCTGCATCACGACAGTTTCCCAAGAAAAACAAATGACGGGACAACTGTGAATAAGAAAGCTGCCATTTAGCACCCAAAATTTGAAAACAGCATTTTTTCCGGGGTCTGTCGATCACACACAGGATACGGCCTTTGGAAAATGGAAAAATTGTAATTTTCAAAATGTTGATGTATCACGAACAAATTTAGCTATTTATATTTACAAAAATTGAAAATTAAGATAAAATTACTCGAATTCATAATACAAAAATCTACTTTTGTGCTTCTTTTCTGATTTTATCCATCGTCTGTGCATATTATAAGAAGAATTGTGCTTGTTCTTTTTTTTGGTCCCCTTTCATGCCAAAAAATCTGATTCTGTTTGATTTTCTTCTGCACATCTATTTTCTGTATCTTGAAGTTGAGAGAAACATTTTAAGATTTATTAGGGGACTTCTTCCTAAATTTGACAAACAGAAGAAACTAATTAAATATGTTCCCATTGAATTCTTTCGGAAAACTTGATGGAAAATTTAGACTTAATTACATCCACATCTGGGGACCCCCACGGCATTTAAAAAATTTAAAAGTGCTTATCGAGCTACTTCTGCACAAAAATCCTGTCCCCAATGCATGCCGAAAGATTTAATTGCATTGGGCTTCAGGAAATTGGCCAGAGATTTTCCCGAAATGGCAAATAAAAGGAGGTGTGGGGATTTTACTGTCAAGTTCCGAGTGAAACGCCCAGGTTTCATTTGCTGGAATATTTTCAGGACGGCTCGTCAGGTGCAGTGCGCCTGCAACGCGAACCTCACGGCACACTACCACCCGCACCTGGGCGAGTGCCACCAGCTGAACGTGCAGGGCCCCTGCGCCCGGGGCCAGTGGTACGTGTTCAGCCCGGAACGCCGCCGCCCCGAGTGCCAGTGTCGGCCTCAGCACACCCCGTGGGCGTCGACGAGTCGCGAGGGCGGCGTGTGTCATCGGGAATACACGCGGGGTCCGTGCGGCGCCAACGAGGCCGTGGTGCACAATACCACCACGGGTTCGGGCACTTGCGTGCCCGTGCCCTGCAAACCCGGGCAACTCTTTTTCCCGCAGCTCGGGCAGTGCTTTCGGATCGGGTCGCGGGGACCGTGTCCAGCTGGCAAGTTGGTCATGTACGAGATGTACCATAGGTCCACGCATCGGGGACTCTGCTCCTGTTCCAAGGACCTCTCGCACAACTTTTGGCCAGAGACCGGGGAATGCTTTGAGACGGATACTCGAGGTCCATGTGGTGACCTGCAGGTGGGTTTGACTAGTTTGGAAAAAAAAAAACATATGGGTTAGACTCAGTTTTCCCCAACCTCTTCGAGGCTGCGGACTGGCAAATTTCCATGAAATTTTTACATACGCCCCAGCATAATTTTTCAAATAAGCCTGCCATAAAGTCGTCCGAACGATAGTTTTGTGGCTAAAATTGATTTAAAAGCCAAAGAAGCAGCTCTTGTCGATGGGATGGCTTCAAAAAATAGACAGCTGGGCTTCAATAATAAAGGTTTTTCAGAAGGAATACCTGAAAAGATTTATTTCAGTACTGTGTAGGTTAAAATGTGTCCTTTGTGTTACTAGGAGAAAAGCCAACTTTTAATTTTCGTCAGACCATTTCAAAAGCCTTTGTCTTTCCAAAATCCCAGAAAAAGATAAATACTGTACTACTTTTGATAAATGTATTATGTTGAAGACAATTTTTTGATTGGTCTGTACCATTGCTAGTGGATTGGGACTATCTTGTGCGTGACACAGGAAATGATCGATTTCCATTGTTAGCTCATAATCAGATTTTCCACTTTTCCACGAAAATTCCAAAATCAAAGTACGTTAGTTTGGAATTTGAGCAAAATTATTGTCTCCTGTATGTTTTACTTTCAATTTCCGACCATCTCAATTTTTATGTGACTGTATTGGTGATTGAAGAGAACAAATCGGTCATCATTATAGTACTCATTGCACACTATCCACGTGTCTTCATATTCACACTTGTGTCAATCCTGAGTTGATGATGTGTTGACATTTTCCACAAGGCATATCTGTTCCAGAAAATATGTGAGAAATATGTCCGTACCCCTTAAAGTCAGGATCCTAATTCCTAAACCAGCATATGGTACAGATACGTGCACTCACGTGGATTGAAAATATTGCAGTACAATCCCTAAAAAAAATCTAGGGAAACCATGGGTTTAAGAGACGGAGCGAATATCCATCAAGTTAATTTAATTTATATCTGCAGAGAGCTGTGTCATTAGAATTTGCTTATCTCGTATATGAGGGAGAAAAGGGATTCGATTATGGATTTTGCCCAAGTGGTTGGAAAAGGATTTTCAAAAGTTCTCGATTGTACACATCTTTGTTCCAAGCGGGGCAAGGTCATTTTTGACGTGGTTTCGTTGGCAGCATGGCTATGTTTTCTTGAACCTTCATCGCTGAAATTTCTCGCTTCCGGTGTGCAGAAACGAGGAAATGGCGGGCTGATTGTTTAGTTTCCTGTCCGAGTTGCAATCCTCAGAAAATAATGATATAAAAACACGTGGAACAACTCCAAGAGTGCATTTTCTAAAAAATGTTTATCACATTTCGGTTTAATGTCGTTGCATTTCATTCATTCAAGGTTGTCATCAAAGCTCAAGTTTTCTCACGATTCATTCATATTTAATTTTTACTGCTGACGATTGACATTTTTTGAAGTGTAATTGAATCAAAATTCCGTTCCAAGTGGAAATAATTTATTTGCCAACACGACTGCGTGATCAGAGGCGAACGAATATCCTTGGGAATCATAAATTGAGCACTTCTGAGTTAATTTTACGGGTGAAATGGGCAATTATTCTTACTTAGCACAGTTATCATCCATCTCCGATGCCCCAGGGCATCTAAATGTCATTTATCCTACCCAGGTACTATCGCACAACGTTTTTTGCTCTCTCAGATGACTTTCTTTACCCCAATAATACTTTGCACTACAGTGAGATTGGATGTGTTCCGATGAAAAAGAATCTTGCATGGTTTATCAGAAATTACGACTATCGATATGTAGGAAATAGAGCTCAGATATTGGTGTCGCAGTCCCATTTACAAGTATTGTAGCAAGAGCAAAAAGATAAATTATCCCAGGGAAGTTTACGTGAAACGTCATGAAGGTGAGGCTTTTTACTGTACAGTACAGGTGAGAATTATTTACGAGTGAGAATTAATTAATGTGGGAATTTTTTGATTAGATGAAGATATTTAAATATGTACTGTATATGAGTTCGAATATAAGTGTTTCTACAAAGTCCAGTCGATTTGATGATGAGGAGGAATTGAATAAGTATAAACAGCAATTGGCCGGTGCGCGACCGGCCGAAAAGATAAGCGCTAGCTTTGTTCTTTCACACAAGGTTCCTTTCGGAAGATTTTTACAAACACTTTTCACAAGAATCTTCAGTTTCACGGCAAAAAATGATTGGATAATACACACGTCGCGTTCAGTCAAAGTTCGGCGCGCTAGTGTCGAGTCTTGCCCAATTTTCCTCCTTATATACTTCATTTTCTCTTTAGAGAGCCGTATATCGCGTATATACGCAGTTCCGGCGGAAGGCAGCTGCAAATGGTCATATATTCTATTCTGGATACGAAATTTGTGCGTAACAAATTTCTTCCTTTAGAATTTGGATTTGTGGGAGTCTTTAGGATTTTCAGTTGGCTTCAAGAGCCTTGTAGAGTTTTTAGTGCTTTGTTGACAGCGAAATCTGAGCAGGGGCGGAAATCTGTGCCATATGTTGGCCGTAAAAGGTTTCCGAACTCCTTGCCTGGCTGGCGGGCTATTTGTCTTTCTCGATACGGGGTGTCGTTTTACTGGTCTTCGCTTTAATGGTTTTGGGGCTATCTCTTTGAGGGTTTTATTGCTGCCTCTTGTGTTTATGCGCGCCAATTCTTGTTGGCGCGAATTACTCAGATTTCCGTGTCACTTTGCGCAGGGGGTATTTTTCGCAGAAAATCCCCACAAAATCCCCCCTTCGTTTGAGGAGTCGAGCCATATGGTGGATTGCTCTGAAAACGAATATTTAAACGCTGCGAAAAATTTGTCGTCTTGTAGTTGTCTTCTGCTGGTGTCTTCATCGAGTCCGTTTTTTCCCTTTTTTGGGGGAGGGTCCTTCCTGGAGTTCTTGGTTGTTCAAGGTTTGATCCTTAGTCCTTGGCAACGAAGAATTCTGTGGTAGTGCCTTCCTGGAGTACAAGTTTTTTTTTTGTAAAATGAATCAGGCGTATTTTCCATCGCTGGCCAGGCGTTGGATTATGCACCTTTCTTCTTGAATCCCCTCTTCCCATTTCTAATGGGAATACCCTATTTAAAGGGTTGCGTTTTTTTTTTGTCGTGTCCTCATTCGAGGAAATGTTTCTTTTGAGTGATTCTCATAAGTTTTCAAACTGCAAAGTGAATTTTTTCTTGTAAGTGAGAGAGAAGAAACATCGTTTTTTCTGTTCGATTTATGCAATACTCAGCTGGCAGAGATTTTTATTTGTCGTCCCTGCTTGCTGACGTATCGTGTAATTTGCTCAGATAACAGTCTTTCCTCCTTTTTTCTGAGTTTTTCTTTTGATACCTTTTTGTAGGACTTCTCTTCGTTTTTTAATTCTGTGGTTTTTGATACTCCTTTTTTTAGGAAAAAAGAAATCGTTGACCCTTTTTCTTGAAAGAGATCATTTTTTGTTTTGAGAATTTTTAAGAAAATTTTGTCTTCGTTTGAGATTAAATCATGGAGGGTTCTTCTGAGAAGTCCGTGTCTGCTGGAGGAATTCTGCTTGAGGAGGGAGAGAGGGTGGATTCTCCCAAAGCTCAATCAGGAGTGATTGGTTAGTGATATAATCAAACTTTCTTGTTGAGAACTAGAAAAATTTTCTTCTCTCTTTTTGTTTCAAATAGCTGATTCTGCTTTGGTGGTCCCCCCAGCATTGGAGGTTACTGNATTATTTTATTTGATACGTTATTATACGGAAAAATAAGACACATATGGCATTAGAACAATTAATTTGAAAATGTTGATGTTCTCCTCGTACATTTTCTTCTATGCATTTGGGGCATTGAATTTTTGAAGCTTGAATCTGCCGATAATATCGGTAATGCATGGTTGTACAAATGAAAAATTTACCAAAAATCGCCTAAGAAAAATTAAACGCATTCTTTGAATACATTTTATGATCAAAATAAAAATACAGCATACGGAGCTTGAAATCGGTCGTGAAATCACAATAAACTTGCGTGACTGAGTTCTATACGGATCATGTACAGTAATCAGATTCCAATAATTCTCCTGTAAAAATGGAGAAATCGAACTCATGTAACGGTCGTATTTTAAATTCATTTACAACCAAAAAATGGGTTAATTTTTTGCACTTGTTTCAAACCGTCATGGAGTGGCAAATTATTCTTTACAGAACAAATAGCTCCGAAATTATGCATACGGTAGATTATCCCAGCCTGCAGCAGAAAGGAAAATGAATACAATAAATGAATAGTTGCTCGATTTTTCACTGAAATAATGTACCTGCGCGAACTGAAATCTCTATTTATTCAAGGAATTGCTCCGTTGTAAAGAAATCAGCTCCCCGGAAATAATGACAACCCTAAATGTTCGTTCCTTACTTTTCGATCTCCTAATACAAACGATGGCTTTTCTCTGTATTTTAAAATTTGTCTTTATACTCTGTAACCAATCATACTTTAATTAATTCTCACTCGTAAATAATTCTCACCTGTACTGTACAGTAAAAAGCCTCACCTTCATGACGTTTCACGTAAACTTTCCTGGGATACTTTATCTTTTTGCTCTTGCTACAATACTTGTAAATGGGACTGCGACACCAATATCTGAGCTCTATTTCCTACATATCGATAGTCGTAATTTCTGATAAACCATGCAAGATTCTTTTTCATCGGAACACATCCAATCTCACTGTAGTGCAAA